TGAGAGAGCGTGAGGAAGATTTTAACATGCTGGGATGCTCCAGGTTTGAATGAATATCAAATACAGATAGTAAGTCATGAAATGTCGATACCATTAATGGACTTCCTCATTTGTCTGTTATGTGCAGGCATATACTTTAGAGTTGGAAGCTGAAGTGGCAAAGCTTAAAGAAATTAAGCAAGAGTTGCAGAAGAAACAGGTATGAGAACCACGGGGTGAGAATTACTGGATTACTTCAATTCCCTTGATAAATCTTATGATCGTAACCATGGCTTTTGAATGTCTCATGCAGGCTGAATTTATCGAGAAGCAGAAGAATCAGGTATGGACGACATCTTTCCTGTTGCAAATATCTTGTATGAATAGCGATTACAACAATCACGGACTAGATGCAGGGATATTAGTTTAAACAATTTAAGCAATAGTGCAAAGTACTTAACTTGCTGATTGCAAAATGATTAAAGCTTCAAATGGTTGTTCCATCAATTATACAAGCGAATGGAGTAAACTGATATACAACTTTTCTATAAATGTCGTCAGCTGTGAAGACGTGACAACAAAGGAGACCAAATGCATGTGATTAGTTACACTAAGTTATTTGACTGTCGGATCAAATGACCCGTCATTGTTAAATATTCTTTTTTTTTTTGTCCAATTGCAGTTATTGGAAAAGATGAATATGCCATGGGAAAATAAATTAATATGCTTGAGAAGGACAGCGACAGGACCTTGGTAGTCAAATACGGAAGTAGAGCAAATTCCAGAGTAGAAGCTTGGACAATTGGTAGACAGGAGGATGAAGCAACATGCCGGCTTCTGGCTCAACTCAGTTGACTACTGAGAGTATGAGCCTGCCCCTCTACCCTCCTCCCAACTTATGAATTGAAATATGTTTTGATTCAAATCTATTTTGTCAAATGGTAGATAACTGTACGTATAGTATAGTACAGGTTCCATGTACTGTTCATATTATGTAAACAACACTCTTGCACAAAGTATCATCTTGTGCTCTTTGTTTGCATCCATAGGAGTTATCGGTGCAAGTAGGATGAAACTGTGAACGACAAGCTACTCGTCTAGTTCTGATTTACAATATCACATAAACCAAATATCTGATACTAACTTTCTGTAAAAGCAACAAACTATTTACGCAGTTTTAGGATAATTGGGCCAGGTAAGTCTTGATCCATCCAAATCTATATCTCCTTAAGCCCAGTGGCAGCATAGAAAAAGGCCACATGGCATAAATAATTAATAATTATTTATTGGTTATTGTTTTTAATGTAAATATATATAAAATAATAAAATAAAATATTTTATAATAAAAAATGAATTTCAAAAAAACTGTCCATTCGAATTGGAGAGTAGTTTCAAGTTGGAGTTTTAAAAATATTTTAAAATAAAACAAAAATTACCATATCTATATCTATCTATATATTATTAAAAGGAGAAGAAAATGTCATCTCCTTAAGCCAAGTGGCAACATAGAAAAAAATCACATGACATAGGTAGTTAATAATTAGTTATTTAGTTAATAATCACCTATTGGTTATTGTTTTTGAATGCAAATATCTATACAATAATAAAATAAAATATTTTATAATAAAAAACAAATTGAAAAAAAAAACTACCCATTCAAATTGGAAAGTAGTTTCAAGTTGGAGTTTTTAAAATATTTTAAAATAAAACAAAAATTACCATATCTATATCTATCTACATCTACATATTATTAAACAGAGAGGAAAATGCCCTCTCCTTAAGCCAAGTGGCAGCATAGAAAAAAGCCACATGGCATAAGTAGTTAATGAATAGTTATTTAGTTAATACTGACTTATTAGTTATTATTTTTGAATGTATATATCTAAAAAATAATAAAATAAAATATTTTATAATAAAAAATAAAATGTTTAAAAAATAATTTCCATTCAAATTGGAGAGTAGTTTCAAGTTGTAGTTTTTAAAATATTTTAAAATAAAACAAAAATTACCATATAATAAAAAACTGAGAAATTATTGAGAATAATAGAATAAACTAAAAAATATGTATCTTATATTATATTATGAAAAGAAAGTAGCATAAAAAAATTTAAATAAAGTAATTTGCTACGAAAAGTTTCTATTAATGCAATAATACTAAATATTGGATAATATAATAAAGAAAAATATAAAACAAAAAAGCTATTCAATGACTATACAACTCTCTTTAATTTAATAGAGATTTTATTCATTAAAATTCAGATAATATTATTGAGAACAATAAGATAAAATTTAAAATAAAAAATTATTTCAAGAGTAATAAAATATATATCTTTTATTATATTAAAAAAAAGTAGTAGACAAAAATATTAAATAGAGTAATATGCAAGAAAAAATTTATACTAACAATGCAATTATTTTAATTATTGGATAATATAATTAAAAAATACATAACAAAAAAGTTATTCTATGACTATATAAGTTCCTTTAATTAAATAGAAGCTTTTTTCATTAAAATTCAGATAATATTATTGAAAACAACATAATAAAATTTGAAATAAAAAATATTTCAAGATTAATATATATATATATTCTCTTATATTACAAAAAGAAAGCGAGCAAAAAAAAATATTAAACAAAGTAATATGCTCATAAAACTTCTATTAACAATGTAAAAATACTAAACATTGGATAATAGAATAAAGAAAAATATAGAACAAAAAAGTTATTTAATGATTATATAAGTCCCCTTAATTTAATAGCGCTTTTATTATTGGGTATATCACATTGACTGTGATGACCCAAAAAGTCATCTTATGTTTTAGAACTCGATTCTGCGCTCTTAAGCCCTAAAAATCTTATTTTTATCCTCATCGATTTGCGTGAGCAATCCGTGCGTATTTCCGAAAAGCTTTTATGATGAAAGTTGATAAAAATAAGAAAATTTGCCTTAAAAGTTAATTTTAGTTGACTTCAGTCAACGTTGTGAGTAAACGGATCCGAACCCGTATTTTGACGATTTCGGTGGATAATGAAATATGGGACCTAGGTGTATGCCCGAAATCGGATTTCGAGGGCCCTAGCTTGAGTTATGAATTTTTGTTGAAATTAAAAGTCTGAAAATCTAATAGTTTTAAAGAATTGATTGATGTTTGGCCTTGTTGATATCGTATCCGATTTTGGTTCCGGAGCCCGGTAGGTCCAATATAATATTTATAACTTAACTGTGAAATTTGGTGACAAACGGAATTTGATTTGACGTGATTCGGACATCTGGATGTGGAGTTAGAAGTTTTATAGCTTTCTTGAACATTTCATTCGATTTGGTATTCAATTCGTAGTTCTAGGTGTTATTTTGGCGATTTGATCGCTTGAGCAAGTTCGTATGATGTTTTAAGACTTGTGTGCATGTTTGGTTTGGAGCCCCGAGGGCTCGGATGAATTTCGGATAGGCTACGAGATGTTTTGAACTTAGAAAATTTGGTATTTTTGCTGCAGCAGCTGTTCTGGTGTGTTCTTCTTCGCGTTCGTGAAGGTACTCTCACGAACGCGAAAGGTAAGCTGGTCAGGGTGAGTTTTTCCTCTTCGCGAACGCGAAGGCCGGGTCGCGAACGCGGAGTGATGGGGGCTTTACCCTTCGCGAACGTGACCGGCTCATCGCGAACGCGAAGCATTTGGGATATGGGGGGAGGGGTCAGACTTTCCTTCTACGCGAACGCGAGCACGACCTCACGAACGCGAAGTCCATGGAGGCATAGCCTTTGCGAACGTGGTGAGGGTTGCGCGATCTCATAAGCCTAGCAGGGAAGCTCTTCGCAAATGCGACAGTGTCCTCGCGAACACGATGAACACTGTCGCCCCGTTCATAAAACAGTCCTAAAACGGGACTTAAGCCATTCTTTCAAAATTTCAAAAGCTAGAAGACCTAAAGTTGATTTTCAAAAGATAATTTCTTCCCCAAAGTGTTGGTAAGTGATTCTAAACCACTTTCTTTCAATTACCTATTGCATTTCATGAATTTTCAACCTAAAATCTAGAGTGTTCATGGTAGAATTGGGGTTTTTTTGGCTAGAAACTAGGGATTTGGAAAATTGGGGATTTAGACCTCAAATTGAGGTCAGATTCCAAAATAATTATATATTCGGGCTCGGGGGTGAATGAAACAATGGATTTTGGTCCGAACCTCGGGTTTTGACCAAGCGGGCCCAGGGTCGGTTTCTGACTTTTTGGGAAAAAGTTTGAGAAATCTAAATTTATGTATTGTAGTTAATTCCTTTAGTAATAATTGATGTTATTGAGTTAATTGTGGCTAGATACGAGTGGTTTGGAGATGGATACTAGAGAAAAAATGATAATTGAGCATTAAGTGGCTCGCGGAGTGAGGTAAGTGTCGTGTCTAACATTGACTCGAGGGATTAGGAACCCTTGAATTATTTGCTATATGAAATCCATGTGAGCGGCATAAAGGTGAGGTGATGAGTACCTATGCGCCGTCAATTTACCTGTTTTGCCTGTTTCTTTTCCGTTCCTCTCATATTGCCTCATTTCCTATCATAACTGCTACATGCTTTACTTGTATTTCCATGCTTAATTGCTACTTGTTAGACATTGTTTCTCTTTGCTGAAAGTATTAGTTATTTCCTAGTTTCGTTGCCTCTTATTATTTGCTTAAGTTGGTTATCAGTATTTTCAAGGCATATTCTGGATTGGTCTCGCTGAGTAGTATTTCTTGTGTAAAGTATCAAAGTATATAAGCTCCCTAATTCTTTTGATTTGAAGTTGAGTCTTGTGAAGAGTTATGTGATTTGAATTGTATAATTTCTGTCCTAGCTGAGTAACTAGTATTGATATGGTGGGGTTGGGTCGCGTGCCGCAACAGGTGGAATAAGGGTGATATATTGAGGAGGAATAAGGGTGAAATGATATGCACGGTGGGGTCGGCTTGCACGCCGCAACAGGTGTAATAAGGGTGAACTGTGGTTGTGATTATTGTGATATGGTGGGGTCGGGTTGCACACCGCAACAACCTTTATGCTTATGTTTTTCCTTGATTGAGTTAGCTGAACTTTAGTCTTAAATTGCACTTAAGGATTGGTAATAGCTGAACACTTATGATACACTTCGACAACTGTATTCACTTCTTGCAAGTTACTAGCCTATTTTGTCCTATCTTCTTTCTGCTTTTATTATACACTGTATGCAGATTATATTGTGATTGCCCAGCCGTAGCCTCGTCACTCCTTCGTTGAGGTTAGGCTCGACACTTACCAGTACATGAGGTCGGTTGTACTGATACTGCACTCTGCACTTCCTATGTAGATTTTGGAGCTGGTTCGTGCTGATCGAGAGGTTAACTGTAGGATTCACTTGCTTGGAGACCCAAGGTACTCTTGTTGGCATCCGCAGGCCCTGACATCCCCTTCTATGCTCCATACTTTACTGTTTTTCCTTATTTCGTAAATAGTTGTATTTTCTTTTAGACAAATACTTGTAGTAAAATCTTAGAATGTTCGTGAACTGTGACTCCGGATTCTGGGTAGTAATAGCATATAATCAACATTATTACTTATGTACTTCCATGTATATTTTGACTTGTTTTTGCTTGTTTGTTGTTAATCACTAAAGCTTATTTTTAATAACTAAACGTAAAGGAATTGGCTAATAAAAACTCTAACGTTGGCTTGCCTATCAAGTGTGATGTTAGGCGCCATCACGGTCCCGATGGTGGGGATTCTAGGTCATGACAAGTTGGTATCAGAGACTACGTTGCCTAGGTCTCACAATTCACGAACAAGCTTAGTAGAGCCTGAGGGATTGATGCAGAGACGTCTGTACTTATCTCCTAGAGGCTACAGAGTTTAGGAACAAATTCACTTCTATTCTTCTTTGTCGTGAGATTTGGTTCTCTCAGTGCTAATCAAACTCTTCTACTCTTGTTCTTTCGCAGATGGTGAGAACACGTACCGCATCTTCAGCTGAGCAACGGCCAGAGCCCCCAGTGGCAGCTCTTATGAGGGGTAGAGGCTGAGGCAGGGGCAGGGTTCAACCTAGAGGCACCAGCGGCAGAGCCTCAGGTAGAGTTTGATGAGGA